TAATCATCAATGTTTCTTTTCCTGTCTGGTAACAGTGACTCTGTTCATGGAAGTTATGTCATGCAAGTTTTAAAAAGGCTGCCAGTTTTCTCATACCAGCACAAACTTTTTTAGTTTACGGACAAAACGATTTTTATTGATAGGTTATCAGGCACTTTAATTCAATGAATTATACATTTTATAGTATATATAAACAATAGCCTCCATTTGGCACGAAAGTATGCTCGGATATTTGTCCGCGGACATTATCTGTTCCGAGAAGCGAACAGTTTACCAAGAGCGTAGCTCGATGAAACTTTGAGCTTTGAGGAACAGATAATTTCCAAGGACAAATATCCGAGCATATTTTCAAAGTCAAATGGAGGTTATTGTGTTTATTATCCTTTAAATATTTTTCGCAACACGCGCACTTTTAAAAATTGCGGAATATTTTCGGATATTCCCCAGTGTTAGCTAGCTGGGGAATATTCGGTCACGTGACGAGTTTAGACCAATCGTGCGCGAGCGAATTATTTGATGAATTATTTATTACATAACATTTTAATCAGGTTTTGCTGATTATTCTACTTTCAGGTTTTCCCGGGCAAATAAAAGTGTAAATTCTTGGCCTGTAATTAATCTAAATTGTAAAAAAAATACAAAATACAAAATCATAAGACACAGTGGCCTGTAAAATTCTTATTTAAGTAAAGTAAAGTAAAAGTACAAAATAAAAACCAACTTAGTTTTAGCAGTAACATTAGAGAGCGTACTTAGTTTTGAGTTGAATCCTTATGGTAAAGCTAGAATAATAAAAATATGAGCACGGGGTGTGACAATTCTAATGAAAGTTGTTTGAAAAGTAATATCTACTACTATCTACTACCTCAAAATTTCTGAGCAGAATTCTAATCCAGTACGATTCCTTTAATTCTTGGTCAAAATATTTTGTTCGTCGGAAACAGAGCTTATTAAAGTTGTCACCCCATGTGATTGAAACAAACTGTAATCTATGAAATTTATCTAAGAAAACAGCCATTCACGGTAATTTATAAAGTTCATGTCTTAGGAAATTAACTGTTACATGTAACTAAGGAATTCAGCTTCGTTTCTTCAACTTATAAACTAGCAATTTTATAAAAACACAGCTTTTTGCCTTCTTGAGTGTGAAATAGGTTTGATTATTTATAATTAAAGCTGAAATCTGTTTCTGAAGTCATATTTTATAGAGTATTCTCCTTTGTTATTAAAGTTTAACTGACTCATATCGATGTTTCAAATAAACTTGTTCAATTCAGGTGAAATATTCATGTGTGTAAATCACGAACTAATGAGATGGCAAGTACATCAATCTTGAATTTAAATCATCTTTTCAATTCTTTATTTTTTCAATGTTGTATGACACACGCTTTTTCTTTAAATTAATAAATTATTTGAAACAGAAGAAGTTGTTTGTGTTGTCTTTGTTCTATATGTAATACGAAAGAAGTTAGGAGTGCGTTTAAAATAGTATTAAGGTAGCTCAAAACAGTTTCCAGTTGTTAGATTTTGATGGGTCATTATAACCACTCTTCGTCACTTGATGCTACAATCATGGTATCAAAAAAACTTCCCAATCATTGGTGAACACGTTGTTATCATTTTTGTGACACAATAGGTTACCACAGCAACAGTATGACCTGCTAAAACACCCTTAATTACAGCTTTAGGAGCTTATAATTAAATCACGGCACGGTAAATTTTTTTAATTTAATCTCAATAAGCTGAAGACGCAACTTTTGGCAAAGTTTTAAAAAATCTGTACATATGGTAACCGCGGAGACTTACCCCATGTGCCAACGGGCATCTAAATCATGTAATAACTTTTAGTGGCCACAAAAATATTTAATAAGCTTTCCAAAGTATTTATTTAGAGTCAGGAGCCATAATCGTGGACGGAGACCGTAAGTCTTGGGATCCGCGCGCACCCTTTCTCCTCCGCAGAGGCTCCCTATATGGGAAATTGAATAATACACGAAAGAGGCCTCTGCGGGAGAGAGAGGCGCGCACCTATGAAATGGGACAATTTTGCTATTTTTAGAACAAACTGCGCCATCCTGACGTCATATATCCGCGCGGATCCACGCACATGTCAGAGGCTCTCGCGTAAATGTAGTAGCGTTGCTTGATCAAACGGTGAGAATTGCGAGATTCTCTTGCAGATTTTTCACAGCGATGGCAGGGAATAAGGCAGGGAATAAGAACCAGGGCTCTTACATGTAGTTTTATGCTCTGAGCTAATGGAAAGGGTGAGTTTTTCAGGATCGAAAACAAGACTTCAACTTCGCGCTGTGAAGGAATATCTGCTCGCGCTAGTTGAACGAGTACGATTTTGCGTTTGTTCTGTAAAGTAAAGTTATGCAAGAAAACTCTTTACTCTGGTATCGAGTTAATTTGTGAGTTTCCCAAACAAAGCTTAAGCATAACCAAACCCTGTTGTTAATAGTTTCTCATTGTTTCTGTTTGTTTGGCGAGTTTGCAAAAGTTTTTGAAAGGAAAGTCTGACGCGTACATTAAGTAGCTCATTTGCATAGTGCAGCACTTGAACTTTCAAATCCGAGTCGGTGTTTTCAATTGTCAACAAATCTTGACGAAGATATCTTTCGTTGTCTTTTGTGCTGAGATGCTGCAACAATTTTCACCAACGCCAAAAGGCTACTGACATTATGTGTGTTTCTTTAACATGGTGAAATTTTAAACTGCGAAAATAAAATAGACAAGGAATTTTGATAACTCAACCAACGAAATCGAAATCGTTATTCGAGTTGATTAAAGAAAGCGTCATCGCAACTTCGCCGATTATTTCTGGTGTATTCACATATTTAAAAACTAGAGATATTATATTATGTAAGTTTTCACACGAAAGTGCGGAAGTCCAATATGTCATGTTTTACTGACTGTACGAAGCACGCATCGGCGGGCGCTCTTATTCATAGACAATTTATTGGATTTTTACACAAACAAAACTGAGCAGCATCTACAGACAAACTTTATTGTCACTTATTGGGCCTTGTTAAAACATCAAGCGTTACTTACAATTCAGGCGAAATTCAAACTAGCAATTATTTTTTTTTTTTTTTTAACTTTTCGGTCGTGATACACTCTGGCGAAATCCTCGAGAGCGTGTGGCAAGAGGAGGGAAACTTTGAAGTCCTGAAACGCTGCTATATCCAAATATATCCAACTAGTTTTTTGCTGTGTTATGGAAAAGCTGTTAATNGCGGAACACAACTTGGTCAGCGATATAAAGCGGGACATAACTAAATTCGACACTGTCTTACTTCACTCAAACTGAAGCAGCTTACGACGAATATACTGAAGTAAAATTCCAACAGACATGAACGTATTGATTTGTGGACCAAAAGCACCAAACATTTCGGGAATTTCGGGCGCCATTTCCCCGCGCTATATCCGCAGAAATCCTCGCAGCATGTACGCTCGTGTGCCGCAAATGATGGCGCAATTTGTTCTAAAAAAAAGAAAAATTGTCCCATATCATAGGGACAGCCCCAATACTAGAAATGGCACGCGCTTACGGTCTCCGTCCCCAATTATGGCTCCTGTTTAGAGTACAAGTTTCACGATTTTTATAAATTAGATCTTTAATGTTGTCTAAACGTTAGAGGGAACTGAACATCAACTACTAAGGATTACTGATGTTGCTGATGATCTACATGTTAACTGACTAACTGTTAACTGTTTTTGAGTGAACAGTAAATCAGTTCTAATTTTCTGTAATTATAAGACATTTTTAAAAGGTCGTCTCTTTTAAGACTGATGGAGTACCGTGTATGCCCATTTTTCTTTAAACTTTTAAATGTGTTACTGATTCATGTAAAAAGTAAATTTTGAAAAAATATCTGGGACTTCTCAATGAGAAATTTCCATCTTTTGTACTACCAAGGAATGCGATAATATCACAACAACTTATTATCCAATTTCTGCTCTATTTTCTATCAAGTGGTCGCTTATAATTACGAGAGGTTAAAAACAAAAGAAAATTTCAAACTTTCAGCTCTAAAAGTGGTCACAGTCACTTACAAGAGGTTCCAAATATAGTGATTTGACTGGGAAACTTTTGGTTTTTTGGAAAACTGGTCGCTGAGGAGAGGTGGTCGCTCACGAGAGGTGGTCGCAACCGGAGGTTCGACTGTATTGGGTGTTGTTGGCTCAAATTTGAAAATGGTCACATTTTTCATGCAACATTAGTGGATGTTGCATGATGTTATACTCGTTTGGCCAGGTTCGTGCAACATTGTTACGCCAGGCCATACGTTCTAGTTCGATTTGCAACACATCGCAACAGGGTTGTCAAACACGCGCGCAACATGTTGCGCCCAACAATGTTGCGTTATGTTGTATTGAAATGCTGCGATCGTTTGGCCGGGGCTTGCAAATACTGGGCCAACAATGTAGTGATATGTTGCATTGAAATGTTGTGATCGTTTGGCCGGGGCTTGCAAATACTGGGCCAACAATGTAGTGATATGTTGCATTGAAATGTTGTGATCGCTTGGCCGGGGCTTGCAAGTACTTGGCCAACAATGTTGTGATATGTTGCGTTCAAATGTTGTGATCGTTTGGCCAGGGCTGCAAATGCTGGGCCAGCAATGTTGTGATCGTTTGGGTGGGGCTGGCTGCAAATGCTGGGCCAACAATGTTGTGATCGTTTGGGCGGAGCTGGCTGCAAATGCTGGGCCAACAATGTTGTGATATGTTACACTGAAATGTTGGGATGGTTTGGCGACCTTTGGTCGGGGCTTGAAAATAATTGTTGCCAATGGAATGTATCTATGCGTAAAGGCTTAGTTACAAAACCATTGTCTGTCACCATGATTATTGAAGGAAGACACATTAGTCATTTGTTTAGTCCTTGCTGTTTTGTTTGTTCCCTCATGCATTCATTGATTCACTTGTTCCCTCATTCGCTCATTCCCTCATTTGCCCATTTCTTCATTTCTTTATTGCGTGGTTACATATACCTGGTTGACTTCATTAGCAAGTGTCTTGTCCTCTATAAGAGAAAGAGGGTCTTTCATCATCTGACTGACGACACCTCTTGGAGCTGTTATATTATAGAAAATATAATGTAAGTAGTAATCAGCAGAGAGCCAAAAGAGACAGAAACACACTTCTGCATGCAGTTTACCATATGAGTTCCTTTCCCTCTCCCTCCCTTGTTCAACAACAAACGTGAAAGATCAGTTCATCACTTTAGCAGCCTTTTTGCTCACAGTGGTTGGGCAAATGTTCCCCCCTCACAAAATATCCTGGTCAGGAAATATCACCCCCAAAAAGGTCTGTGGCCCACTGACTGACTGACTGACTGCCCAACCGACCAACCGAGGGAGCTAGTGACTTATTTCTTCCAATCTTACTGCTATAACTCCATCTAGCTATGCTATCACTCATTAGAAATAAAGTTTAACATAACCAACCAAGTTGCAACAAAAAAGTAGTCAGAATGAATATTTACAGAAAACGTGGTCAGCATCATTGCCCTTCTATTACTACTGACTTCACCCTGCATTACAGGGGAAATTAGAAGTGTTACATAATGTACAGCATTTACTCAGAGGTATCAATACACTGACAGCACCTCAAGGTCACTTACGATTTTGTCCTTCATAACAAGTATGGGAAAGATGCCTTTCTAGAACTATTCTTGCCAGAAGTGAATGAGACAAATCAACCTGAAGATTCAAAAAGCAATAATAAAATTACCAGTAGCTAACTACAAGTAAAAATGTTCACAAAGCGTAACATTTCTCAATGTGATGACACCAGTTGCTTTTAGTCGTCCAGTTATCTCACGGAGGCTATCATTACAGCTGAACTGTAGAATCCTGCTCCCCTGGAAAGGAGGAAGTAGCCATGGAAAACCTTATAGCCCTCCTTATCTTCAACAACTTATTAAAATCATTACCTCCTCAGCAATCCTTAATAAAGCAGGCTCTCCAGAGTCTTGAGCTACACCTGCCAAATATCTAAACACAACATTGGAAAAGTAAGGTTCCAAATAAAATCATTGATATGTTATTAATATTTTTCATATTCTGTGCACTGTTTCAGAAAATATCCATACTCCCGCCACAGAAGGGGTTGGAATTTTCTGGAGGGTAGGGGTTCAGTAAGACCAAAAAATATAAAGAAATGTATGAAGCTTAATCAGAATTGGGGGTGTCTTAGGGGGTGTCTTGGGGGTGCCTTAGAAAAAAAAATCCCTTTCATAGGGGGGGGGGGGTGTATCAATATTTCTAAAACTACTCATTCATACAAAGCATCATTGAACTGAATGTTGGCATGATGGTGTTAAGGTTTCCATCCCTTGAAGGTACAGAAGACTTCCGCTCCCAAGGTAACGGGAATAAGCCCATTGCAATCCTGTATATATAGAGGATGTGTACATTGTCCTCAAAATGTCATTAATACTTTGCTGATATTAGAGAGTACACGTAGCCAAGCACAATATAAATAATAGTTTCAAGGGTTCTAAATTCAAACCTTTTATAGTAATTCTCCATCACATCTGGCTTGTGGTGTTTATGATGGTTTTTTCGTGTCTTTTTCTGCCAAAGAAAAATAATTAAAATATCAGCAAACAACCTGAAACACTAACAGTTTGTGAAGATCGTGAAAAGTCTGAATTTGCAGTAGTACTGTTTCTTCTTTTAACAATATACATGAAAAAAATTACTCGATTCTGATTGGCTGAGAGCAGTGCAGTTCAAGTGTAACACCAGTGCAAATTGCACATCGTAATTCTAGATTATGATTGGCTGAAAGAAAATAGGTATTTTTCTAAGTCAATGATTTCGCATAAAATGATGACGAAAATTTAGAGCGGAAACTTTGAAAAAAGTTTTCTTGAATGAGAAAAAGTGGCTTCAAGAAAGATCTTCCGGCATTTCCCCCACGCAAATTTTTTCATGTTTATATTATTAATAAGTAATCATACAGTTTTTCTCCTTCAATTTGGAATTAATTAGCACTTGTGAGTTTTTCAAAAAGTAAAGTAGTTTATTAAAACTCTCTTGCAGTAAAACAACTGAATTAACGAATACATTTTACAATCTTAAATTATCTAAAGTACAGTAATTTACAAATGTAACAGTGGTACTATCAATTCAGTCACAAAAAATATTTAAATGTGACCGAAGTGGGTCATGCAATTTCAGCTTTTTGAAAAACTCACTCATGCAAATTATTTCCAAATTGAACTCAAAACTGTATGAATACCTATACATATTTTTATAAATCAAATAGTACCTTAATATGGTGTTTACCTAACTTGGGTTTTCAACTTTTTGAGAATTATGTTTTTAGACATACTAAGACATAACTAAAGGAGGGATGATGGGCTAACATGGCCAATGTTTGAATGTTCTAACAGGGAACATGCTTTACTCTCACAATGGTTCCCATAAGTATTGTCTAGGTAACAAAACTTCCAATTTCAGACCAGTAGTAGTAATTCCTCCAGTTAACTAAAGAAGAGAGCTACACAAATGGCTACTACATGTAAGCTGAAATGATAAGTGAGCAATGATGGTGATTTTTTTTTTTTTATTGAAGTGCTTGTAAAAACCAGAATGTTAAGGAAAGGTAACACAGAGGAAGGTGCAGCAGCCAAGTGGTCAAGATGTTGGATTCTAGCAGATTGAGAGGTTTTACTGTTTCAAACGTGGGGTGGATTCAGGAATTTAGAGTAGGGGGTTCAAGACATGGACCACCAAAGGTAGTCCCCTGTAAGGGGGTCCAGTGGCATCCTAACTTGGAAATTTTTTAAAATTGAGGTCCTTGGAAATGGGATTTCCAGCATTCTGAGGCAAAGTCAGAGTGTCTCATTACTTTTAATTGTTTGATAAATTGATTGATGGAGGTGGTTTTCTGTTCATAAGAAAAAGCACCTGACATCGCGTTATATTGTTAAAGTGGTCAATTCCTCCATAGACAGTACTACAGAAAACGAATTTGGGTGCCAATGCAAATGTGCTAACAACAGGCTATTTTGTTTTCTTGGGCTTGAACAGCAACTTTTCTCATTCTGTTATACATGTCTTCTTCTGTTACCGTAATAGCACAGAAATAAGAAAATTACCTGAGTCACACTTGCCATATGGTGAAGTCTGATTTAGGTCCTCTTCATATGAACCCGGTCAACTGGGCTGGCTCGGTTTCCGAGATCTCGCCTCGCCACTCTTTCCTTTGTAAGAATTTCGATGTGTTCATATGAGAGGCCAGGCTGGCCCAGTTACCGGTAAAAAGGTAAAGTCTGCATTCGAGCTGAGTGGCCCATCAGGCCAGAGCTTATCCCGGTTTCTGTAGCATGAAGCGACTAGGAGTATTTCTACTCCCCCCTGGATGGGATGCTAGTCCATCGCAGGGTTACCCCCAGCATTAAGTTCGCCGGTACCCATTTATACACCTGGGTGGAGAGAGGCACTGTGAGAGTAAAGTGTCTAGCCCAAGAACACAGCGCAATGTCCCCGGCCAGGGTTTGAACCCAGACTGCTTGATCCAGAGATGAGCGCACTAACCATGAGGCCACTGCACCTCCCACACGGGTAACTGGCCCAGTTACTGAGATCTCGGGTTTTGCGACCGAGATCTCGGTAACCAGGATGAAAATTTTCCTTTATGAACACTCCAGCCCGGGTAACCAGGATGAAACTTTTTAGACGAAATAGCTTCGCTTTTGCAACATAGCGGCCAAAATGGCATAATTTTTTGCTTGTATGTATTTCCAATTTAGGAGTAGGCGAACTAGCTTTATTAGTAAAGTTACAAGAGTCCACAAAGCTGTGACAGCCATGAACGATACAAGTTTATGTTCCACCATTTTGGTTGTGTTTCTTGGATTTTTTCATGGTAGACCAGGCTAAAATTTCCCATGTGAACAGACAACAAAATTTGTCTCGGTAACCGGGCCAGGGGCCCGTTTCTTGAAAGCCCTGGAAACTTTTCGGGCGCATAAAGCCATAGCATAATCTTGAACCTTACAATTACAGAGCTGTTTTATTCACATATTCTTAATATGAAGAGAAGTTCCCTTCATACAAGAAGTTTCAGGCGTACACACTTCTCCGTTTTTAGATACAGATGGCTTTACGGGCCCGAAAAGTTTCCGGAGCTTTCGAGAAACGGGCTCCAGCCCCGTTACCGGGCTCATATGAAGAGGCCCTAAGTTTTGTACCTGGATACTCAAACTTCCACAGAACAATCCTCCCTTTTTTAGTTTTATTTTATATCTACAAGTCTAAAACTTTGACTTACTTGGTAGTCCTGTGAGTATATACTAACAAGAGTGTTATATGTTACACTGAAAAATAAAACGCAAAATACAAAATGTGAAGTACACAAAACAATTTCGGCTAGATTGTAGAATGCCGGGCCAGTCATTTGCATCTCACTGAATTTGAAGCTTCGTTTTTAGAGGCATTGAGAGATATGTTAATAAGTGGCCCGGTATTGTAAAATCGCTCCACAAATTCAAAGACTGTTCGAGTTTTTTATCTTGGATTCAATGTAAAGGATCGGTAGTTTCGAATTTTAGTTTTTATTTTGCCGTGACAAATTTTATTTTGCCGTGACAGATGTGGGCCACCGTATTTATACGATACTTACCCAGGAAACTGCAAAGCTATGGTCTTCAAACAATCCCGAGAGCCATCGTTACGCATCATTGTTAGTATCTGATTAAAAATTTCCTGCTTCATGGCTAAAACGCTCAACTAGCTAAAACTGTGAAAATTGCATCAATCTAACCCAGCCTGAATCGACCCATTTGCCGCCAAGAGACCAAACGAAAATTTGGTAACCGCGCGATTGATTTGTTCCCAGGACTGCGCCAAAGAACCTGCCACCACAGGCAGTCCAAGCTCAATTGCAAGCACTCAATCCAAAGTTCAAGCCATCTTGCGTAATAGGCGAAATTTTTACCCGGTGCGGGGAAGGAGGGGGGAGGGGGTGCTCTCTTATATGGGCTCTATATGTATGTGCGGCCCAAAGGGTATGGTTTTTCAGCCGTTTTGGTCATAAATAGGGTATCGATTTTGGCCATTTTGGTCTTATATAGGGTATAGTTTTTGTGCTCTAGTCTTGAAGATGAATTAGGTATGTTGTTTGGAAGAAGCTACTTTTTCATCATTATCGATAAGACCATAAGCAAAAGCCCTTCAAAACTTACTGTTTGGGGCAACTGTGTCAGCCGCAGTGGTCATAAGTAGGGCATCGAGTTCTGGGTCTGGTCATAAATGGGGTAGGGGAAAATCGCAGACAGTTGGTCATAAAAAGGGTTAGAGGCTTAGGGAGCGGGCCTCAGACCCCCACCAAATTTTTCTGGGAGTATTCCCCGGGAATTGTTAAAACGCTGTATGGGAATATTTACGATCGGTTTTTGGAGATACAAATACTAGACAACGCTTTATAAAAAACGTTTTATCTTACTTCTACAGTGCTCTGGTCACTCTTAATTTTCTGCTGATTTTTAGCGATTTTAGCGAGTTGCCGCTTCCTCGGCGCTTTCTACGTTTCCTACTCCTTAGGAGAACGAGTCCGAGTGCCCTCTTGTAGCCGCCCCTTGGGAATACCACTGGGAAACCTAGGAAGTAACAAACTCGCTAAAATGGTCTCGATTAAGCAAAGCAAGCAGTCAGACAACAAGAGATACACTATGAGCGACAGTAAGATGAAGTATTTCATTGAGAACTTGACAGTATTTTTACTCTCTAGGAGCGATCGTAAATATTCCTAAACAAACTCTTATATATTCGCCGCAATCGGGGGTATTCTAGAAAGTTTTATACGGGCAAGTCCAACCGCTTCCCCCCTACCCCGCCCCTTGGGATTTTCGCCACGACCGCTATTACGCAAGATAACTTTTCACAGGCGGGAGCTTGGGGAGCATGTGCAGACACTTCTTTTGTCGCGAGGAAACATGGAGTTTGCTGTCGCCTTTCTTCAAACACTTGATGAGCTCCAATTCATCAACATTTTGTCATGGGCAATCATATTGCTAGCATTTATCGTTGAAATATGTTTGATTTTTCTAAAAGCCGACTATGGACGTTATTTTAGGTCGAATTCATGGCAAAACTGGTTGTCTGCAGCGGACGCAAGGCTCGCTTGGTTTGTGCAAGAACTTCCTGCCTTTGTGATACCTTGTGCGTTGCTCTTTTACGCTCGCAAAGATACTTTGGGATTGACTCCTAATACAATACTCCTTTCGTTATTTGTTTTGCATTATAGTCACAGGTAAGTTGGTGAATGGGAACAGAAAGGTGGTGAGGGGTTTGTTTAGTGGTGGGTCTAGGGAGGGTGTTACGTAATAGCGGAGCCCCGATGGGCCGCCAAGAGGGGCACCATAACTGTAGGAACAGAACCATATAAAAAGTAGACATCCTGCAAAATGGCGGCCACACTCCAGCTAATACCAAGTCATGCAGCCTTGGTTTATGCATCAGTCAATTCCAGCACTGCCCATTTCCACCCCCCCAGGCTAACCCCGGGCATTAACATTTTTTTTGAAGAAATGGGCAAATTCCCCGGGGTGGGGACACATAAGCTGTCTAAATGCCCTGGGGTGGGGACAAAGAAAGAGGGCAAATGCCCCGCCCCCAGAATCGTCACCTTCGAACACCCTTGCAGTTTATTGATCAGTAAATAAAACGGTCAACTGTTCAGTATTTTAACGCAATGGTAAGACTTCAAGGACAACAGTACGTGTTAGTTGATTCTGATTATATTTATTTCTTTATATTTGTTTTTAAACAGTTTGCTAGAGGATAGCTGGGATTGTGTCGGACGTGCCCCCACCCGCGAGCGATGATAGGCACCTGTATTGGCAGGCTACTTTTTCTGTGAAGAATCAAGACATTTTAAATGATGATGCATTGCATTTTAAGCTTGCAAGATCTGCCTTGAAGATTGCATCATTTGAATTCACAAACCTTAAGTATTTTAACTCCACTTTCATGAATTTAAAAAATGCAGGCTAGTTTTGAATGCGAAATGCGAAATAGTCATGTTCACGTCAGTGATTGTTTTGTGATAAACAAAATATAGTTCACCTTCGTCTTTCCCAATGAACTCATCCACGGCACTTTCCAGAACACGTGTGTCGAATGCTCAGAGGTCGCCCCTGGGTACACAAATGCCCAGCCCCCAGGCTGCAATAAAATTGCGGATGCCCCACCCTGGGGACTGACACCGTGATCAAATACCCTGCAGTTGCCCGGGGGGGATGGGCACTGCTGGAATTGACTGATGCATTAGAGCGTACATCTTTGATATTGGACATTCATGTTATTATCCATTGACACCTGTCAAACGAGTATCAGTATCACGTGTTCATATTATGGGCTCAAGTTTAGAGCTCATCGAGGTCACATGTTTTTGAAGTTAATCACTGAGCAAGTACTGGGTTTCTGTTGGATGGCGGGCTCAACCGATGTTTATTTGTTGTAATCAGACCGGGTTTTTTGGAAGCCACTTAACGTTAACCCAGGGTTAAAAGTTATCTGAAGTAGAAATTATTCCTGTATAAAAGTATTTTTCACTGCTTATGTTTTGTATAGTTTGAGGTTATTCAAACTCAAAAGAGAGGGCCTCCCCGAAAATTTACAAAACTAAAATCAAAATTCTCGCTTATCCTGGGTTAGCTTAATCAGGCTTTGAACAACCCGACCCAAAAGCTCCACTTTTAGGCTTGGCTAAATCTATATATTAACATTGCCCATCAGTCAAAAGATGTTCTCAATCTCCTTAACCAAACTGCATATTATTTAGAATACATGATAGACTTGGAGTACATGAACCTGAATCCTGGCAGAGACTGGATGACCTCAGGTTCCAGATGGGTTTATAATTAGGTTCATAATCTGGAGGTCCCTTGTTTAAATCCTCCACACTACTGCTACCTGGAGTTGTTCTCAGTACTTTACTCTGATTAACAGTTGTAATTTTCCAGGTCACTTATTTATCCCTGGCTGATCACAGGAGGAAAGCCAACTCCAGTATTCCTGGCATCTTTAGCATTTTCATTTTGCGCAATAAATGGATACATACAGGCAAGATATTTGACAAGATATGCTTATTATGAGATGTCTTGGCTGACAAATCCGTGTTTTGTTGTTGGTGTATTATCCTTCTTCACTGGAATGGCCATTAATATTCACTCAGATCATATTCTACGCAGTTTGAGAAAACCTGGCGAAACTGGCTATAAGATTCCAAGAGGTTTGTTATTTATTAAATAACTAGTGACTTTTTTATCCAGTTTTATTACAGTTAGAGTTGTAAGAGTTGCTCTTGGCTGTGCCGGTGGCAAGTCTTACACTTGTTTTGTGCTCTGTAAACTCAGTAAGCATGCAAAGCTTGTTGTTAGTTGTACTTGTACTCTATTACAAGACATATTATTTTTACTTGCTGCAAGGGATATCCTACAAGATCACATATGTTTTTAATTCACCATTCAATTTTCTCTGGCTTGTTGCAGAGAGTGTTTTCCCAGCGAACACTGCTTGTCATGGTTGAAATTTAATTGTGTGCAACCTTAACATGTTTTGAATGTATTTCCAACTTACATATACCTGCAAATGAAGTGGAGTAGTCCAGAAGGGAACCTCTCTTTCTTAGCGACAATTGTGCTGATTCTGCAAAGTGTTCTTGTCCTTACTACAGAAGGTTTTTCGTTTTAAACTTTTAAACGCCTGGAAATTCCAATGATATTTCATTTCGTTGTTTTCTTTTAAATTTTTGTCTCTCTTTTTTGTCTTTTTTTCCCTTTCAAGAAGGGAGTACAAATGCTTCCAATTGCTTATGCTCTTAAAACCAGGGTAAGGTAGTTTTTACCAGTTCCAGGCCTTTTGGGTTAGATCATTTTTGATCTTATCTTCCGGGAAAAAGTCATGGATATGGAATGAGCGAATCCCCATGGAAATTTCCATTCAGGATTTGACGCATCCCATTTACTACAACTGTCGACCAACCAGTTTTTCAGAGTAAATCATAAACAACCTTAGCCTGCTGAAGACTTTACCATCATTACTTTTACTCTTAATTGATGATATATTTTATATTGTACGGAGAAATTAAATTTAGGTCACAAATGAGAACTGAAGAATTTCATAAATTAAATGGATCATGTGTACTTAAAGCATCTGTTGGCCGACTATCGGTCGATAGTATCGGCCAATATGTCGACTGACACTCAGCCGACATATCAACTGATACTCAGTTGATATTTCGACCAACACTCGGCCACCATATCGACCGACATTAACTGACACGCATATCGACCGGCACTCAGCCGATACTTCACCGACACTCGGCCAACACTTGGCTGATACTTCACCGACACTCGGCTAACACTATGCTCAATTGGTCAGCTCTTGTTACTGACTTCTTTCCTCTCTACTCAAATATTGAATAATCTTCTCCAGCCCCTTGAGATGGTCTTTCAGCAGCCCTCGTCCACTTTTGACTTTTCTTACTGGCAACATTCATCTATCTCGAAGACTGTTTTTTCCAGCTATGCTTGTTGAGAGCTCAAGTTGCATTAAATATGTATTCGAAATGACCGCAGTTTGAGCTGCATCCTCTCTCTATCAACATGTGAGCATAGACGATAGAGATTCTTCTTTCGCGTCTCCTGTGGGTAAGAAGACGGCTGCTATTTCAGCAAAACAACGGTTAACAGTACACCAATACCACCAACAGTCGACCAATACACCAGCGACTGTTGATCGCAACATGTCAGTCGAGGTGTCGGCCAAGTGTCGACCAATATTGACGACTGACAGTCTATTAACTTGAACAACATGTTGACCAACTGTCAGTCAATGTATCGGTCAATAGTATCGACTGATACCCAACCGACAGATGCCTTAAGTACACATGATCCAATTAAATGTCACTCTATAACATTTCAGTAGCTCATGACTGTTCTAACTTCTTTCTCTGTCTCAGGTGGTATGTTCACTTATGTGTCCGGAGCTAATTTTTTGGGTGAAATTGTTGAATGGAGTGGGTTTGCATTAGCCTGCTGGTCGATTCCTGGCTTAGCTTTCCTCTTTTTTACTCTTTTTAATATTGGTCCAAGAGCAATTCAACACCACAAGTAAGTATGTGAATCAAACTCTGCTAATCTCTGTTTGTTTCTTTGTTTGTTTGTTTGCTCGTTGGTTTGTTTTCACAGAGGACTAGGTAACCTATTTGGTTAGCATACTGTATTCCAAAGCAAGTGGCCTAGGTTCAAATTCTGGTCAGGGCCATTGTGTTGTGCTTTTGGGCAGGGTATTTTACGCTTACAGTGCCTCTCTCCACCCAGGCATACCGGCAAAATTAATGCTATCTAGGGGGCAGTGGAAACACTGCTAGCCATTTAAATCCACAGAAACTAGGATAAGATCCAGCAGTATGGACCAGTTGGTCTGAGGCTGAAAGTTCCTTATTTTTGTTTGTAGATAATATATCTGGGCAATTTTGACTCCAGGGACCTGTTTCTCGAAGGTCCTGAAAAGTTTTCACACCCAAAAAGCCATAGCAAAATCTCAAACCTTATGACTACAGAGCTGTTTTATGCACATATTCTTAATATGAACGGAGGTTCTCTTCATACAAGAAGTTCCAGGCGTATACACCTCTCTGTCTTTTAATGCTGATTAACTAAAAATGGCTTTTCGGGCCTGGAAAGATTCCGGGGCTTTCGAGAAACAGGCCCCAGATCCAGCAGTCTGGATTCAAGCAACTGGTTGGGGTCATTTTGTAGTGTTATTGGACAGGACACTTTATTCCCACATGTCAACTCTCACCCAGACGTATTACTGGTAATCCTTTTGGGCAATGAAGAGTGTTGAGTGTCAATGCATCATTTCAATCTGTATTTTCCTTCGTTTGAGTATACAATTGAAAGTGATTTTTGGTTTTAATTTTCTTTTGCAGTTGGTATCTTCAGAAGTTTGAAGATTATCCAAAGTCTCGTAAAGCTCTGATTCCATTTGTCCTATAACAAAGAGCAAAAAAACAACGCATTCCAATAATATATTAGGTTCTGTCTTGACCTTTTTTCAGATTTCCTCTTTATTTAGGTGAATCATCTTCTGTTATTTCTTCTCCTTTTTATTGGCAGCATTAATTTAGTAAATTCAGCAGTATCGATAAGTTTTATGCTCTTCTCTTTTTCTTTTTTGGACCTTAAATACAAAAGAAAGACGGTGTTGCCATCGCCTTTCCAACGAAACTAGTCAGTCAAGCTCGTTAATTGCCTCTGTTGTGAGCCAATGTTATGAGGGTTTTTTTTGGTAACTTTATTTTTGCCTTTATTGTTCGAATGTTCAATGTATACTGTCTTAATCAGTATTTTCTGGATAGTGGGGGATAATATATATTTCATGTGAATAACCAATTACTTGTACAATTGAAGAATAAAGTGTGAAGATTAGTCAGGTTTGTCAATAAGACTGGACTATTGAGGTTGACTGTCATTTTCTTTGCTACACAACTGTTTTTTGCTCTGACTAGAATTAGTTGGAGATGAACTTGGAGTTTGTGTCAAGTTCTAGAGTTTTGTTCTTAGTATTGCATCTTTACTATCCGTTAACGACGGTGCCTACTATTGTTAGTGCGCAGATGTTCTGCGCATCACACAATGCATAGTTTAACCACCAAGAGCATGCTAGGGTTGGCATTGACATAATCAACTACGCTACCAGGTACACGACTGAAATAAAAGCAAAATTTTTCTACTGTGACCAAATCAAGTTTAATGAACATGTACTAAAACCAGGAATACCACAGAATAGCAGGGTATCACTAACCCCTATCTGTTAACGGCTTCCAGCTGAAAAACTAGCTTTTATCTGTCGAAAATTATACTGAAGTCTAATTGTAAAGATGTACCTGCAGATGGCGAAGTGCACACACATAACTAGTGCAAGAGGTGCAAATGTTTTACTTACAGGGTAGGTGACAGGAAAAAATGTAACAGGCACCTTAAAAGTTTCAAAAAAGATGAATAACTTCAAAAAATGTGTGTTTACCCCTACTAAATGGAAGTGGCAAGCCTATTAAACATGTGATTAGTTTCTGGTTGTGAGGAAAAGCTATCTAGACTGTATTTAAGCTGAACTAGAGGAAGGCTGTCAGAGATGCTAAAAGCGCTGTCGCGACGATTTTGTCATTATAAAAATCACCAAAAATGGTTTTTATGTTACCTTTTACCAAGTAGTTTTAAGATCTTAACAATTGTGCTTGCTTTTCTCTAATGTAAAGGTGAATTCTAAGGAAATTTGTGAAGAAATGCCCTCTTTTCCTTCTTTTTTCTGAAAAATGCTGATGTCAGCTTTTTTGCTGCGAGTCAAGGCTAATTATCTCAAAAAAATGCATGGCTACCCCCATTTTTCTTTGTGGATTCCAATAGCCCTTGCAAATATCTACTTTTTCCACATGGTCCTAGTCTGGTGCAAAAACCTTTGTATTAAGTAGGCACCATCCTTAAATTGATAATAATGTGTCTGCTATAAAGATGTCAAAAGTTGATCAAAACTTTTCTCAGCCCCAGCCAGTCATTTTGTTATGCTGTTCTTGTGTTCCTCTCTCCACTCAAGTGAATAAATAGGTACTAGCAAATTTAATTTTGGAGATAGCATACCATTCAGGAAGAGAAGAAATATTCCTAATTGCCTCATGCTGCAGACACGCAAGTTCCAGGGGTTACTCTACAAAGTTTTATACAGGGAGGCTTCGCTCCGAGGTCCAAGCACTTACCCTTTAGCATACCATCTAGACAGAAAAGATACCCTTTTCATATACCTTGAATTGAGAAAAGGTATCCCTTTCACATACTCTCAAAACTGGCCTGTGTCATCAATAAGCTGCCAAAGAAGGAAATCCTCATGTCATTTTTATGCAGTGCTTAATAAATTAAATGATTCAGTCATTATGATTCGTGAGCCATAATGATAATGAAATGATTCAGTCTGTTCAAAATATTTTTTATAAAGACCCTTAAAATGACTAAGTGGTAGATTTCCCTACCCTTTCATACACCTAAAACTTGTAAAATCCCTGCCTTTTTATATACCTGAAGCCTGAAAAAAGTACCCCTTTCAGGTGCACCTGCTTACATGTAATAGCAAAAAACAAAGCAAAAGAACAACATACAATTCAAATCATGAATAATTAATGCATATATTAATTATATTTAATTCTGTGGTACCCATCTATGCATTTCTTGTATATTGTTTTGATTTCTAAAATTACCAAGGGGAGTGAGGCCCCTTATAATACTGTCTTGATTTTTCCACAGTCTTGTGCTGCTACCCAACGTCAAGAGAAATAAATTTTACATGCCATTTTTACTCAAAAGTGTTCAAATCTTTTTGAAAGAAAACTGAAGTAGGGCAAAATGAACAACCTATCCAATATTGTTTTGTTAATGTCTTCAATTACGAGGTCATAAGTACTTTGAGCAGCTGGGGAACTGGGCAGGTTGGGTAACCAGCTTCCTGAAAAGCCTTGCTGCATTTCAGACCAAAATATAAGAAAATAAACACACAGTTTCAGTCCTCACTCAAAATCATATACCTTATTGCAGCTCTCTGAAAGTAGTAAATATCTGGGAATGGCTTCCATGTGTGTAAAACTTTGAGGAGGGCTTCAAATTTCCCCACAGAGAAGAAATTTTCTTTCTGAAGAGTGCAACCAACCAACCAGAAAAATCAAGATCTTTTATTCTCTAATGCAAAAAAACTGCGCTCCCCCCCAACCCTAGTCTGGAAATCTGCTGTTGGTTTGTGCCTTCTTCAGTCCGAGACGGAATCTCCTTTCAAAATCTTCTCCCCTTGCCCCCCTCCCACCAACCACAACAAAAACCTAGGGATTCAGCAGATTCACGCGCGAGAACGCGCGTTATCACGCTTTGCGGCCCGCTTTTCGCGTTGTAATCCCGAACGACCAACCAAAACGCGGTACGAAAGCGAGGCAAGTGGTTCGAAAATTTGCCGCCATGTTTACGACGAGACTTCATGAAAGCGTGAATTGTCACTTTTCTCGTCCGTAGGTCTCTCTGTTCTTGTTTGTTTGGAGGAATATGATGGAGTTTGAGAGGTTTAGAACGGTGCTATGAATATCACAGAGTGTTTTCCAATGAGGAAACGACGATCCATCGACAAGACGCCCGGACGTACCCATGACGCTTCAGGTTGAGTTTACGTTTGCTAGTAATGTTTTTTTCTTGGTTGCATTTGCCGTTTTGGTTATTTCCAGTCATTAGGTTACTTAAGGTTTGGAAATTATTACCTTGTCTTCTTGAAGAGTTCGTCTCTCGGCTTTGCATGTTTGGTGACCAGCGAGTTAAAAAATTATCTGTCTTATATGAGTCGTGCGCGAACATGTAAGCTTGTTTAGTAAAGCAGTAAAGATATGAATGGATGGGCTTCCTGCCGCAATACTAAATAAACGCATTGAGTAGAAGGCTGTTTTTAATCGCATTTGGTGGTATTTTGTTGTAAAATCAATCCCATATGTCAACCAAACATCAATCATATCAGCTGTAGATAAATTGCAGGAACACTATGTAAAAACTCTCAACTCTCCATAATTTTTCTTTCAGTGATTCCCCGCCGGTCCTCTCCTACTGCCAGATTACGGCGCACTCCTCGTCGTCTTACCGGCAGCAGCTGTAATAACTCCCTTTTGGATCAGTCCTTAGAGATTGTGTGGGATAATAATTCTCCATCACCAACAAGAACTCTATCTCTTGGTACGCACCTCTCTGATCGTTCCAATATATGTTAAATTAGTAAAGTACATGTTCAGTGTGCAACTTCTCGTTCTTGGTTTCTTTCATAACAAATGCGCAGAATCTGTTCAAATGTGAAGGCAATTTTCACTAGATGGTTTCAAAACATTGGACAAGTTTTTCCACTGGGTAATGGCCAGTGACAAAATGGTGGAAATAAAAAAAGTAATAAATATCTCCTCTCTATCTTGTAGTCTGACGTAAAATAATTGCAAATTGACAGAAGTTTTCAATGTAGAGACTGTGCCCTACACTCGGTAACTTATTTTTTTGACAGTTCATGCCATCTAGACGAGTGACCCAAGAATGCAACCAAAATGTACAACTTGTACTGACCCAAAAAGGATGAGATTTACCTAGGCAAGTGGGCAAGCAAACCTTTAAATGCATGAAACTGACTACACAGATCTGTGGAATTTGCTTGGGCAGTAAAATACCCTGCCAAAATATACAGCAATACCACAAACTCAACAACGAATTCACTGTGAAGTAGCATTTTCTAACAACATAATTTTCTGCTTAAATTTCTCTAAGTTCCCTGTCTTGTCTGCTTGAGCTAAATTGCCTCAAATACTCACCAGAACGTTATTTTGTCTTCAAAGGAAAACGGAAGAAACATCATGGAAGTGATAGCAGCAGCAGTGGGGGTGAAATTTCAGATTTGGTACAAAAGTTAGCTGACAAGGTAGTTAGCAGACCAATAGTCCATATTCAGTGTTGAATTTAGAATGTAGCCATTCTGTATCAAATTTTTAAGGTCTAGTTTTTACAGGAATCTCTTTCAATAGTTACAAAGTTCTTGACAGAGGAGTCTTTGTTTCCTCAGTTTAGGAAAACCTTCATCAATACTAGGAGACCATGCAGTTCTTCTTCTAATGACTTCACAGAAGGCAAAATTTGACATAACTCTCTACTGGACACTGTTCTTCACAATCAGTGAAGGCAACATTTTCATGCTATAAAAACTTTTCTTGTAGTCTGGTAGTACTCCAGAAGCAAATCCTCCACTACTGGCATTCTGGATGTCGAGAGAAAACACTACAACTGTTCAAGTTAACAAGGATGACACCACAGGTGAAGGCAACAACTCTAACAAACAGAAGAGCAAGGAATTCCAAACGCCATCTCGGCGACCAAGGTTGGTGTAAATATATTGTACATACATGTAAAAGTTTAATGTTGTGGCCTGATGTATGCATAAAATTAATGTATGATCATTCTGTTATTTTGGTTGTGTTTGAACAACATTGTCACAGGGTTCGTATGGGTCCTGGAAAACCGGGAAAGTCCTGGAATTTTATTGTGGCATTTTCCAGGACTGGAGAGTCCTGGAAAAGGACTACTGGTCCTGGAAAGTTCTGGAAATCTGTTAAACTCAAGTCAAAAAATATGAAATGTATGGCAGACAGTTAGGAGAATTAACATTAAGATCTTGGGAGTGAAAGGGTTAAAGTGAATTTTAGAGTCCTGGAAAAGAAACAGTCTGAGTCCTGGAAAAGTCCTGGAAAAGTCCTGGAAATTTGTTTCTGAAAAAGGGTACGAACCCTGTTGTCATTGATAATTTGTTTCTTTTATAGGCGAGTTCTTAGAAAATGTAACAAATCAAAGATGAAACTTCTGCAACAGGACATTGAACTACTTGTCCACCCAGTTGAGAAAATAGGTATTGATTTTCAATTTCCTTTTCTGGACTATGCTACTGAGTAACTTTTTCATAAATGTCTGTTCTCCTAGTAAAGAATTGGCCTGGAGGCTCTCTGCAGCTGGCACTACCTTTGTAAAGGTTACTGCTTGAGTGGCTTTTACTCAATTTTGATTAGTGCCAAGGTCAAAGAGTTGCTACAACTCAAGCTCAGTTCAAAATTAATATTATGACTGTGGTATGATTCCTTCTTAATTTAGTTAGCAAGCAAAGTTGAATTTGTTTTTAATGCTGTTTTCTTGTTTTCCTTTGTAGAAGAGAAACCAGTCAGCAAAGAGACTCTGCCTAAGACAAGGTAGACTTTGTGTTTGCTTTGGTTTTCATTTGTCTTCATGACTAAGGAGATGTCTAATTACCTGCTGTACTCTACTGTTGCTGCAATTATTGTGAACATTGTTTCATGTAAACCTGTTGTGAGACAAGATGCATAGCAAATATGTAACTGGAGTAACTTGAGCCATCTTTGTTACAATGACTGTGGACATAAGGGAGCTTAAGCAATGGTGACAGCATTGCCAAGGACAATGCCTTGTCAAAAATGAATTTAACTTTATATTTTATCGGCAAACTTTGTTCAGTATGACAATGGCTTTAAAACCGTGCTGAGGCTAAATATGCATACAAAAATTAACCACCATCATTCGCATTCCCAAGAATATGCAGCACTTGGTCATTTTACGTTCTTGTTTTGCAGGCACCAGGCAAATTGAGTGGCTGTAAGGATGATTTTGCCCACTTGGTTTGACCATCTAGTGGAGATAAAGAAGTTCAGTTCAAATAGTTTTGCCTGCCTGTGAGAACCAGTTGCCCTCCCACTGAAAATATTAATAAAACCCCTGGGACGGCAAAGAAATGTACAAATATATTTATAACGCACATGCACAGCTATTGTTTTACCTTTTGTTTGGTGATGTTCTTGTTGCTGTTGTCGTCATGGTTTGCTTCAGCTCCCTAATGTCTCATAATTTGTTGTGAGATGAGATGCACACCACGGCACCTGGTGTAAATGTGTCTTGTTGAGTAACTTGAGCAATCTTTCTTTGCAGTTAGCTAAAGAAAATTTAAGATATTATTTCACATGTTGTTGATTGGTTACAGGGAGCAACAACAAGATCCTGCCTCAAATTTGGAAGGTGCTTGCAGTGGAATAAAACTGAAAGGAACTGAAAATTCAGATTTCTTTGATGGCTGGGACAATGATGAAGATGACCTGATTTTGAGTCAAGTAGATATTCCTACTTTTAAAACGAACATTCCAGAAACTCAAGTGATGACCAACACTCAGTACCTGGGCAGTGGAGAAGATACTCACACCAGTGATGTGACACAGCACCCATTACTTAAAACATCTGACCACAGAACTGCTGCAGATGTTCATGCACATACAAATGACAGTATAGTGACAGAGAGTTGGGATTTTGTCGACGGATTTGGTGATAATGACGATGAAAATGTGCTTCAGAGTGCTCTTGAAGACTTTGAAAAATCCCAGCAGGTTTCTATTCCAACCGTCAGAAGGGTGACACATTTACACATAAAACCTGACTTGTCACATATTAGTGGTAAACAAAAGAAAGAACTTTGTGGCTCACTAAATCCACTGGGAAAGAGCAGTTATGCTTTGACCAGCTCAACGAGCCACTGTTCTACAAAGCAGAAAGATAACAGAGTAGGGGCCAATTGCTCAAGCAAAGAAAACTTTTCTTTTATACCACGCTCTTCTCTTCAAAGCTGTACTTCTGCGAGGTCAGAAAACATCACCATGCAGCAAGTAAAACAATGTAACCTAAAGAAAACCGACAGTCTTATCTTGCCACAAACTGGCCCACAAAGAACAATGAAAGAACAGATAAATGACAAAAGAATAAGCCAGTACAACAGTGTGGAAGTAAATGTCAACAGACAGCAAGACAGCACAGGGCAGAGTATAGTACAAAGTAAGTATCCAGATGAATTCTGTTTTTTGGGACCAAGTGAGCTGTCCCTGATATTGAGGAGGATCTCAATGGGGTAGAAGCTTTAATTTACAGCTAATGGTTAAATTTTAACGGTTACATTTTTTGCCCTTTTACGACTAACAGTTAATTCTTTCCCGTTACGGTTAACTGAAATTTTAATGATTAATTACCATTGTTTTACATTATAATATAATAATTAACTGGAAATATGATAGTTTATTTCCATAATTTGGTATGGATCAGCATGGCAAAATCATGAAAAGTATAGGGAACATTCTGGGTTGACAAAAAATTAAATTTATCTGGTCCACCAATGCATATAAGTCCTGTACTGCAGGACGTAGAAATTTGGAACTTTTAACTTCCAATAAATAGAACAAGGAATAACATGTACAGTCAAACCTCCGGTAGCAACCACCTCTCCTCACTGACCAGTATTCCAAAATACCAAAAGTTTCCAAGTCAGTCCGACCACTTTTAGAGAGCTCTAAAAGTCTGAAATTTTCTTTTGTTTTAAACCTCCCATAAGGGACCACTTGACAGATAATAGAGCAAAAATTGGATAATAAGGTGTTAGGATAATTAGGTAGTTTATCTGAAGTGAACCATGATACTCTGAATAAATACTTTGGAAAGCTTAAATATTTTTGTAGCTACATATATCTTATTAGATGTTTTGGTTTGTAGTATTGCTGTATATTTTTACAAGTTGTGCCATGTTTTGACGAGCCCGTAGGGCGAGTCAAAATACAAACAACGAGTAAAAATATAAAGTGATACTACACACCAAAACAAGAGGGAGAGTGTGACAGTTTTGCATGCATGCCCCAACCTGTACAACAAACAGGTTTTCAACTGTACAATATCGCTGTATATTTGTACTGTTATTTGGACGGTATTCGCTGCAGCTGGATAATAATAAAAGTTATTACATAGGTTTAGATTGGCACTGGTGCATGGGGTAAGTCTCTGCAGTTACCATATGCTAATGAGGCAAAATTTTGACCCAGTATGGTCTAAGCAATCGTAAGCCACCACCTCCCATAAGTGACCACCTAGGCTTCATATTTTGGGTGGTCGCTTACAGGAGGTTCAACTGTATATTTGCCTGCATGTGGTTAGGTACTATAAACATGTTGTTCTTTTGAAATTAGGATTATCATGCGTCTTTATACATTTTTGATGAGGCTTACCGCTTTACGCCCCCTTAAACATCAAAACATGTCCATGCCTTGACCTGCCTCCCTGACCCGTTATCACCTCTGTACTAGTGACCAGTTCTTCCGATCATCATGATACACAAATGGAGTTCTGTACAAGACATTTGAGACCTTTCATTTGTGCTAATACTTTTTTTACGGTTAATTGTTTTCAATTTGTTTTACGTCTAATGGTTAAATTCAATTCAGTTCAATTTTTTGGCCCTTTTACAGCTAACGGTTAAAACCCATTGAGACCCTCATAGAGGTGTCCACATTATAAAAGGGTCTGTAAGGTGAAACTGAACTGTATTTGCCTCTGGGTGCGCATTGGTTCATAGAGCAGTTTTCAACTGAGTGTCAAAAGCAATCAGGCAATTACATGTACTTCAGTTTTGGTTTTGGTTTTACTACAGTTTGAGATTGGCTGAGAAGTTTAATAGGTTGTTTCACTGTCATGCAATAAAAAATAAATCGAAAACCATCCATTGGAAAAAGCTATGAAATTATGATATTATAGAAGATCAGTAAATAAGACACTTCTCCAAGTTTTAGGCCTGTGCGTTTCCCCAAACTTCAGATATTCGTCGAAATGTTTCGCAGAAATTTACAGAGCCCAGAATGAAAACGCCATGTTGGTGTACCTCCGTGGTACACCAATATGGCAGCCAGAAAATAGTGTAAACATCTGGAACTTACTTTGGCTATCTAGGCAACTGATTATCAGTACTGATCAAACAAGCATTTACAGAAGCACTTTTCCTAATGCTCTAACTTCTAAAAAGGCTCAAAATCATGAGATAAGTATATATTTTTCGACGAACTCGATCGTAGCCTTGTGTCACGCACCTCCATAACCCTGAAATTCAAAATGCTCTGGATTCCAAACGAAGCACGTTATTGAGCTGTAAAATTGTAAACAGATATAAATATACCGCCTCTTATGCCTGATGAGGATAAAAACTTTGGTGGCTCTTTAGTTTTGGATCTTAGAAAGTGATGACGTCACGTGAAAACGAGCTATTGGCAAGTAGTTACTTGTAGTTTAGTTTTGGTTTTACAACACTCAATTGAAAATTGCTCTTTTGTACACAATGTTGCAATTGTTGTGATTGGTCATCATCACTGTTTTTGGTTTTATAGTCACTCTCGATTGAAAACTCTCTTATTGTGGAAACCTGATATAATGTAGCTATCACAAACCTCTGTACTGTATAATAATATTATGTATATAACAAGCAACCCATTAGAACTATTCTTTTTGCCACTAACAACGCTGACTGAATTTTGTAACATGAATGACACATACCTTGTAGAACAAACTAAATTCTGGACTGTGTTAGCTCATGAAATTGAGATAACATTGTTAGTAGTTACTGTTTGAGAGCAGTTAGAGTATTGTAAAACCAAAACCAATGTTGCCAATTACAATCTAAAGACAGACAATCCATTTAATCAAAACTCCAAGCTGATGCAACACCAAAGCACAAACTTATGACCAATTTATGATTGGTTTTGTTTTTACAGTTGAACCTCCACTTGTGGCCACTTATTTGTCTTGGCTAATGGTCCACACATTCACTCAGATTTTAACCTCTGTACAACAGCAGCAGCCACTAGAGTGGGTCTCAATGGCCAAAATAAATTTGCAGCAGCAGCCAGTTAATCATTGACTAATGAACGGCATTTACAAAACCCAATTTTTAATGTAAAAGGTCACAAAACTGATCCACCCCAGGCGTTGTTGGTCTCTGTTTCGGTCTAGTTACTTTTCTGTGATATGCTTTGATTGTGTTACGTATTTATATGCTAAAATAAGCATTTAAAAAAAAACATAAAAATGTTGCACTGCCCATAAAAACAGGTATCATATTACACCCCTTCTTTCCCCCCCCCTCCCTTTAACAGCCACTTCCCTACAAGGGCCACTTTCCTCTGTTCCCAAGGTGGCCGTTGTAGAGAGGTTCAACTGTACTCCTGATCGGCTGACAGCACAGGGTGAGTTCTTTAATCCCACTGTTAGCAGTAATGCAGAATGAAATGAAAAATTCAAATTATGTGACAATCATGTGAAAACTGCTCTCTTACCCTGTAATTTGATCCATTACAAAATAATGGTAGTTTAATTGCTTTTGTTGAATTTTCTCTTTTAAGGGGGATCTAAGACTACCAAATGTTCAAAAGAAGACATAGAAAGAAAAAAGCTCGAGGCACAGAATCGTCGCAGACAGAAAATGGCACAAACCCAACAGAAGCATCAGAGTTAACTTGAAATAAACATGTTGTTTCACTAGTTCTGTTCCCATGGTGATTTGTTACATGTACAAAGAATTAAATTCATTTCTCAGTGTACACATAACAGTGAATAAAACTGATCCAAAAGGACTTGGTTTTGATGATTTTGTTCCATTTTTTCACATAACAGAAGTGTTACTGGTAATATAACTCCAGTAGGAGAGGGAGACAGTTTTTTTTGGTGGGGGGGGGGGGGTGCGGAGATGCAGCCTAGTCTCTAGGTGTTCTCTCTTGCCTATTCCCTTGTGTGAAGAACATCTAGGAAATAATTCAGGGGAGATAAATCCTGTTTGGTAGGTAGTATACATCAAGGGCACTGGTTGCATGAGCCAGAAAATACAAGACAGTCAGTGGATATTTAAGTAACATCTATGTTATACTTTAGAATCAGTTTCTGGTCAAAATGAGTATAGACCGGTTTGAGTAATTTTGTGTTCCCCTTTGCTTCAGATTGAGAACTGTAATCCTTCAAAGAAGAATGCAAATCAAACTAGTTTGAAATCATCTTGACCTGAACTTCATTTTGAACTACCGTGGAACCTCACTATTTCAAACTCTCAGGGGAATCGAAAAATAATTTGAAATAGCCGATAGTAAATGACTGAAAAACAAATCCAAGGGAAATTGGGGAATTGGAAAAAACAGAGTTTGAATTACCAGGGCCTGTCTGTATAAAATCACTCTACCATGTGGTGTTTTTTGACCAGTTAGGGCTATATTACTCTGTGGGACCAGTTACTCCATGCTGAATACTCATTCCCAGTCTCTTTTCTTCCTGCCCCCTGGAGCAAGAGAGAACTCCAGGGATGGGAAGAAGAGAGACCCTAGGAAAGAGGTTGTACTAATGCCAAGGCATCTGCAAAATCAGCCATCCTTTACACAAATTATTCTTGGGTGGAGGGTGGTGGCGAGAAGAAAAAGAAGTACAGTCAGTGTTGTGTTCCTCATCTAATAATTATTTTTTACACAACTTAGTCCAGGAGGCAGATATTACTAAAATCAATGGGATTGCTTTATTTCCAATCCAGTCTTAGATTGGCCATAGTTTCTGATCAGCTCCTCCATCATAAAGCCATACTTTTGAAAGGTCTTATCAACCAAAGTTGCTCAGGACCATGCCATACTTCGTCATTTCTGCATGGACTTAGTTGTACTTCATCTGTATTGTCAAGGCCTAGGCTGTGACCTTAGTACAGTCCTTACGCTTGGCCATGGTTAGGAAGATATAAATGTTTCTACAGTGAAACCTGTATTAGCAGACCCCATATTAAGCTGATACCTTCTAACAATGAACACCAGCTTGAGTCCCTAAATTTTCTTCTCACATTTACCATGAAATAACCCTGCATTCAGCGGACACCTCTGTTAAGCAGACACAGACACCACTATTAAACCATCTTGTTGCACAAAACCTACAATAAGCAGACACTTCAAGGGCTTTTTACTTCTAAAAGCTCAGCTCAGACTCCTTTAACTTTGTTCAGCGATGTCATTTTAAAGCTAAGATTATTCCAGATTGATGCATTGAATGACTGGACATTGAGCTACAAGCAGACTTTGATCTTACACAGTGCTACATTATATATATTAGAACCTGTTCAGAGCAAACACCCTGTATTAAGCAGATACTAGAGAGTGTCCCAAGGGTGTCTGCTTCATACAGGTTTCACTGTAGTGGAAAATGTATCCCCCCCATATATTTATTGAATTGGTTTGGTTGAAATAGAACCAACTTACAGCAGGAGAACTTTGGGATCCATCACAAGTACACAAACCAACAGGCTCCCCAACACTAAGAGTTCTGGGGCCTGTTTCCTGAAAGACCCAGAATCTTTTCGGGCCCGAAAAGCCATTTTTAGTTGATCAGTATTTAAAGGCAGAGAGGTGTATATGCCTGAAGCTTCTTGTATGAAGAGAACCTCTGTTCGTATTAAGAATATATGAATAAAACAGCTCTGTAGTCAAAAGGTTTGAGATTTTGCTACGGCTTTTCGGGTGTGAAAGCTTTTCGGGTGTGAAAACTTTTCAGGACCTTCGAGAAATGGGCCCCTGGCCTTTAACTATTTGTGTTAAGTATGCAAGTGTCAAAGCCGCTATGTTAGGGCTGGGGTGGAGAAATAAAAAGCAAAATAATCGCAAAATGACGTGAGAATGCCACTGGCTGTGTTGGCTACTCCTCTACAAAGACTCCTTATAAAGGCAATAGTCAGTGATGACTGTCGGGTGTTTAAACATAAGTTTCTACTTTATTCCATCTTCACCTTGTGAAGACCACTGCAGACACTACTTACATTCTGGACATTCAGTTAGTTTCATCTATTTTTTTTAAAAAAATATATTATGCTATAAACATGGAAACACTTCTGCAAAATTCCCACCTAAGATCAACATAGTTTTAGTCTTGACATGCAATGACACAGCATTGTGTGTACTTAGTACACTACCACTTTGAACTTGTGCTTACACTTTAGCATTGGTGTGTTACTAAAGTTTAAGCAAAAGTCTTGTATGTCAAGTTTCACATTATTGTCTAGGCAGGTCCCACTAAATACATTAAACATGCAACTACCATTTTTTCAAGCTAATTTTTTAACTAAGGATAGCCTTCATATTAAAAGACTTGTAAAGTGTTGCTGCTTACAACTAGCAGTGTACTAGCAGTGCTGTTAAAGTTGCAACAAATAAATGCTGTGCAAACTAAAAACAAATTATTAACCACGGATCACCACTATAGTGTTGCTATGGATTAATTAATTCAGCAGCTACTAGGGTTCAAATGTTTATCACAGATGCAATTCTGAAGAAATTCTCTTAAAAAAATAAAAAAATAAAACTTTTATGCAACCAATTACTTAAACCACATCTTTCAGTTCTATTTAAATGGCTTTTAAGCCACAGTTATTTTTGGATTCATAATAAGTTATGACATGGCCAATCTTGTGCATAGAATCTTTGTTCCCTTGATCAGCAGTTGGGCTTTAGGTTGTTTTGCATGTGTCTACAGTCTAGCTGCAAAAAGAGGCTAACCCTTTCCATTGTTTTCTTCAAGTCATTTTCATTGTTTTCAAAACCAGTCAATATTGATCCTACAATGAAACCTTTGATAGTTGTCTGCTTCATCAACCTTCTCATGCCGTAAGGAGCAAAAACTCCAGGTACAAGACATGGTTATGGCCAGCCAGTCTCCAATGCCATGTCTACATGTCCATCCTCTTTAGAGTGGACGAAATACAGAATCTGATGTGAAAGGCAGATCACACCCTTAAAGCTACCAAATGGATGTGAACATCCCCAATAAAATTAACATAAAAATTCAGCCATTATTTCTAGTTTTAATTTAATATGGTGCAAGTACCTCTTGCTATCTTAGAGCCACTCCAGGTCAGCTGTTCCAACTCCATCCCCCACTGGCCCCATATGGCAAGCTGGAATTGGACCAAAGGTTTGACCCATCATCATACCAATTGCCAGACTCCTCAACAATATCACCCCACCCTGTTGGGGTTTCAATATCCTTGAGTTCACTACCACCCCAACGATCAGGGCCTTTGGGAGGATTTGGAAGAGTGCCTGGAGGTAATTTGAGTGAGTCAGCGTTTGTAGTTGACTTCAGGTTGCCAAGTTCCTGAATGCGACTTGGAGTTATTTTTGAAGGTAATACATCACCACCCTTCTGTACTTGGTGAAGGGCATTAACATACTGTTGTACCATTACATCATCTAATGTATCATTATCATCAACAACCACAAGCTCCTCTAAATCTCTATCATCAATAATCGGCGCTTGGACAACAACAGATTCCTCCCAGTCATTCCATGGGTCTGAACTTGTTTCAGGGTTCTGACTACTAGATCCTGTCGCTGCCACTGCTGGTAATTCCTGCATTTTTGCCTGATCATTCTTCCCTCCTCCGCAGCTACCTTCCTCTTCAAATTGCCCTTTATTGCCATTTTGCTTCGGCTGGTTGGGGCGTGGTTTATTCTTTTTGAAGTTCCTGCCCCACTGACTGTTCTGAAATCTTGGAGGAACATTATTTGAAGCAGCATTTTTGCCGTCTTCAACAATGTTTATTTTTTCCATATGTTTTTCCAGGTTATTATTAAATAAAGTATCATTTTTAAAGTCCCCTTGCCATTGAGCACTTGCTACAGGGACTTTTGAACAATTTGTGTCACTAATTGAATCCAAAGAGGAATCAGTGTCACCCTCTTCAAGTTGAAACTTTTTGGATGACAATACAGACCCAAATGTGTTTCCATTTTGGCCAGAATGAAAGTGTTTCTCAATTGTTTCCTAAAATAAAATGAAAAACACTTGATCACTTGCAAATCGTTGTTCAGCAACAGCTTACAACCAGAATAAATTATGTATGTAACATCCTAATAATGTTTACTACATTATACATGCATTCATAGAAATATTAGAAATATTAAAGAAATTTAATTACACAATCCTATTTATAAAATACTACATATACACCAGTAAGATGCATAACCAAGCTATTTACCTTTCTGTCTTTGTTAATAAAGTTTTATTTCAGTACAGAATAGAAAGCTTTAGTCATTAGCTACGAAAAAATGCCCCTTGCAAAAGTGCAAAACCTTACGCGAAATTAGTTAAGTTATACATAAGAGAAATGTTAACATTAGTGCTGTTAAAACCAATGTAAAGTAAATTACATTATATTGTGTAGTTCCAGAAAATATCCATACCTCCCCCGCACAAGGGATTTTTTCTAACACCTTCCCACCCCTCTGGAAATTCCAGTTAAGCTTCATACATTTCTTTAAATTTTTTGGTTTTCCAGAACCTCCCAACTATGGGGCGCTGTTTGTAAATTTATTATTTAGACCGAATTTATGCCATTTTCCCCTTATTTATAAATAATTGGAAACGCCACAAAATTTGTTTA